GTTCTAGAGCTGGAACTCAGGTTGCCAGGCCTGTGTTATTTACCTGGAGTCACCTCTATGACTGGCCACAGTTCATATAATAAAGACATTTTATTTTCCTCGTATCATAGTCTGAGTTTCTCTCACAATCTTTGTCCACTTGTCTTATATCAAGCCAATAATCTTTTAAATATTTTGGTATGGTGTCTTGTGCAGACAGACATACATGCTTTATGAACTTACTTGTTCTGAATTTATATATTAAACACCTCTTATATGCAAAGCACTGTAAATAGGGGTGATAGCCATATACACAGCAGATTGTATCCCGGCCTCACGAAATGCTTATTCTCATCTTGGATGCTGGCAATAAGCACCCGATTAAGAGGATGTATGGTTATAAGAGGTGATCCGTTCTCTAGAAGAGAAATTGAGCAGGGAAGAGGAATAAAGACAGGGAGCTGCTGTTTTAATTGGGCCTTTCTGTAGAAGTAACGCTAAAAGGGACCTCACTGGAATGAGGTGGGGGATCAAGCAGATAGCCAGGAGTGCATTTCAGGTAAAGGAATCAATGAGCTCGAAAGCCCTGGGACACAGCAGGCTTTATTGATGTGCCTAAATGCTTGGGAGCCATTGTGAGGGAGGGAGCCTCAGAGCATTGGGTGCACTGAGGGAGAGAGTGGTAGAAGTCCAGTAGTTAGCCAGGGCTGAGATCACAGCAAGTACTCCATCTTCTTCGCTAAGGATTATAAAACTTTGAGCTAAGATGCGATCCATGTTGAAAGGATCATGCTGGCTGTGTTGTTGGGGCATTAGTAGAAGCCAGGTGGCCAGTAGGTACCACTGGAGCAGTCCTGGCAAAAACATCAAGAAGCACGGGCAAGGTCCTGTTAGCTGGGGAGAATCACTTGGATGCAAGGTATATTTTCAAGGTTCCAACAGGATCTGCTGGGGAGTTAAGGCTTCTGGCTTTTAGCACTAAGGGAATACAGGTGCCATTAGCCAAGACAGGGAGCATGAGGAGCAGCAATTGTGGAGCGAGGGAAAATTCAGTTGTGGGTGTGGCAGACTTTGAGATGCCTAGTGACATGAGCAGAGATGTTGAATTATTACTAGCAGTAATGTGGGCCCGAATTCTAGGAAAATTTGGGGCTTAAGTAAAAATTTGGGATAAGACCTAACATACTTTTCAGAAGAAATTCTAACACTCTAATTTACACAAAATTGTTTTTATTGCAGGCAAAACCATATGGCATCGTTGACACGAAGCCCAGGATATTCCCAGTAAGTCTCAAAACTCCAGTTTCTCACATGTACATTATCCCCTCCCATTCTAGACGTTATTGCCAGATTCATTGGGATAAAATGATCCTTTCTTATTGTCAGCTTAAGTGTGTTTGTGCATTATTGGAGGAGGAAAAAGGATAGTATGAAGTAGCAACTGAATTTGAAAATGAGGAGTGGACACTGTATTTCTTTTTTTAAAATTTTTTTATTGTCCTTTTTTTTTGAGCTCTACATTTTTCTCTGCTTCTCTCCCTGACTCTCCCCTCCCCCCTCAAACCCTCACCCAAGGTCCCCCATGCTTCCAGTTTACTTAGGAGATCTTGTCTTTTTATACTTTCTATTTCCCATGTAGATTAGACTATGTAAGTCTCTCTCTTAATGTCCTCATTGTTGTCTAAGTTCTCTGGGATTGTGGTTTGTAGGCTGGCTTTCTTGCTTTATGTTTAAAAACCACCTATGAGTGAGCACATGTGATAATTGTCTTTCTGTGTCTGGGTTACCTCACTCAAAATAATGTTTTCTAGCTCCGTCCATTTTCCTGCAAAATTCAAGCTGTCATTATTTTTAATTCTGTGTAGTACTCCATTGTGTAAATGTACCACATTTTCCTTATTCATTCTTCGGTTGAGGGGCATTTAGGTTGTTTCCAGGTTCTGGCTATGACAAACAACGCTGCTATGAACATAGTTGAGCACATGTCCTTGTGGCACGATTGAGCATCCTTTGAGTATATACCCAAAAGTGGTTTTAGTGGGTTTTGAGGAAGGTTGTTTCCTAATTTTTTGAGAAATCACCACACTTTCACCCAAAGGGGCTGTAACAGCTTGCATTCCCACCAGCAATGCAGAAGTGTTCCCTTTTCCCCACAACCTCTCCAGCATAAGTTGTCTTAAGTGTTTTTGATCTTGGCCATTCTTACAGGTGTGAGATGGAATCTCAGAGTTGTTTTGATTTGCATTTCTCTGATGACTAAGGATGTTGAACATTTCTTTAAGGGATACTGTATTTCTTAACCTTGTTTTATGACCTTGACTGCCCTAGAGCAGAAGAACTCCCAGCTTTTCATGGGTAAAAGACTAGAGCATGAGCCTGAAGCGGGACCTTTGCAAATTCAATTTTAAATTAAATTGGGTGTGTTGTGCACAGCTTTAACCCCAGAACTCCTCTGCTGTGGCAGGACAATCTCTGTTAAGTTGGAAGCCAGCTTGGCCTACATAGTGTGTTGCAGGACAGCCAGGGCTCTATGATGAGTTCCTATCTCAACCAAAATTTAGAATTTTGGAATAAAGTACTAAATCTTGTAATGATAAGTATTATTTTCTTGATTGTGGCACTGGTCTCATAGGTATATCCATACTTAAGTTATATTATACAGTTTAAATATGCAGTTTATTCTGTCTATGCTGTAATTTCTAGGTCCTCATAAAAACAATATACATATATATTATATATAATCAATTGGTATTTTTATCAATTGGTTGTTGGAGAGGCTATTGTTTTAGTATGCTAAAATATAGTGTTTATCTCTGCTTACAAGTAATGAGTGAATAACTGTAAATTGAAAAACTTCCATTAAGTAGCATATGTGACAGTGGTCTGTTATCAGTGCAACAAGAGACTGTTAGGGAGAGCCATCAAAATTGGCTCACTGTCCCTATGGGAACTCTGCTTCAGGAAATAACAGGAAACTTCTGTTATTTACTTACATGTAGTGGATGTGTGTCAGACCCCAGGTAGACTCAAAACAGGACATCCACTTACTGGTTTTGTCAGTTGACTAATTAGTATTTATTCTTGCTTGCCTGGTTATTGATCTAATTGTGTGTTTATTTTGCTATTCATGTACAAAGGCTAAGGCCTGGCCCTGTTCTGAAGACCTTATCGAGGATTTGGTTGCATTTCTTCTATTTCTTTTCTTTTTTTACTACAGTGGTTCTTTCCTCTTTCCATGTTGTTGACCACTTCTGAATCTTCCCTTTTGAGAAACTGCAGAATGGCCATCTAATTTAGACTAGAACAAGCCATGATAGTGTTGCAAGTCTCTGGCTTAACAAAACTCGTTTTCTTTATCCTGAGGTGATAAACTAGTGTCGGTTAGGCTGCCCTCTCCAGTCTGTTTCGTCTCAGTCCTTATTAAGATGAATGCCAGAGCATAATAGCTTTTCCATGCAATGTCTGAGCATGGAACAGAGTACAGTGAGCACCTATCCAGGCTCAATCTCTTCCTGGAGGTGGAGGCTGAGAGTAGATGGAAGGAATAAGATACTAAATCTTATAATGCTGTATGTTACTATCTGGATCTCACGGGTATATCCATACTTCAAAATTATATAGTTTAAATATGTACTTTATTTTGTCTGTACCGTTTTAATTTTTAAGTTCTAATGGCAATAATTTATTTTTTAGCTTTATATATATCAGTATAGGTGAAAATATAGCATCCAAATTGAAATGTTTTTTATTTATTTATAAAAATTATTTATTTTTATTTTATGTACATTGGTGTTTTGCCTGCATATATGTCTGTATGAGGGTACCTGGTCCCCTGGTCAGGAGTCACAGGCATGTGAGCTGCTATATAAGTGCTGGGAATTGAACCTGGGTCCTCTGGAAGAGCAGCAGTGCTCTTAACCACTGGCTGGAGCCATCTCTTCAGCCCCCAAACTGAAATGTTTTAAGTAAAATGGAAAATAAATTTTTGTTTGTTTGGTTGATTTTTTTGAGATAGGGTCCCTTACCTCTGTTCTGGAATTTGCTATATAGACCAGCCAGGCTTCATACTTATAGACATCTACCTACCTCTGCCTCTAGAGTGCTGGGATTAAAGGTGTGCACCACCATGCCTGGCTTAATTTTGAGTTAACGAAAGGTAAAATATGTTTATGGTCATTTGTTGTATTAAATAAATGTTGAAATATTTTACAATAAAATGTATCTTTAATGAAAAAATTTTTATTAAACATTTATTTGTTTTTCCTAGGGTGATACAATTTTGGAGACTGGAGAAGTAATTCCACCAATGAAAGGTTTTCCTGATCAACATCATTAAAGAGCACTTAAAAACTTAAAAGACTTGTGTAATAAGCAAAAGTCTCTTCATATAGTGCTGTCTTTACTGAATCTGTTTCCTGGAAAAGTAACTAATAAAGCTTATTCTCAGAGTATTGTTATTTTCTTTCCAAAGTCGTCCGATTTGAGACTAACAGTAAAAAGACAAATATTAAACAGAGCCATCAGCTACTTTTTTTCCTATTTGATAAACAGGATGCAAAATACGTTCTTGTCACAAAAGATTTGCTTATGTACTGAATTGGCAAGAGGATATGTAGTGATGTATTTCATTTGTATTTTAATAAATAAAGCTTGTCTGAAGATCAGTGAGTAAAATAGTCACACTGGTCAGCCTTACAGACCAGGCATTGGTGACACACACCTTTAATCCCAGTAGCCACACTAGTTTGTCATAGATACCGGGTGGTAGTGGTGCACACCTTTAATCCCAGCACTAGGGAGGAATATAAGACAGGAGAAGACAGCTCTCGCACAGTCTCATTCTGAGGTTCCTGGAGGCAGGATCATCATTTCAGACTGAGGCAGAGGTAAGAGTCAGTGGCTGGCTGTTTTGCTTTTCTGACCTTCAGGTTGAATCCAAATGATCTGTCTCTGGGTTTTTATTAATCATGCTACAAGGATATGAAGTGTTCGAAGCACTAAAATGAAAATCTATGACCTGATACAAAAAAAAACGGCTGTTCCATTTATTTCAAAAATTAGCATGTTAACGCTTATCACAAAAGACAATACACAATTTGTATTGTGAATTTTACTTTTAAGTCTACATAGATGCCATTTGGGGAAAAGAACTGTGTTTGCTAAGAATTACCACGGTTCATTCATTTCAAAGAATTTATCTGGAAACTCCTTGTGCAGCTGCCGACGTGCAGCTACAGTTGATGCATAGATGACGAATCCCCAGGAAAGCAAGACGATCACGAGTAGCAACTAAAGGGGAAGGAAAGGGGGGGAAAAATCAATGCGCTGGGTCCATTCTCTGCTTAGGCCAGGTTACTAGCTACAGGTGGGAGCAGATTGTTGGAGTCACTCAAAAGCAGCCTCGGGGCCAAGAGGCCCGGCAGCCCTGACGTCAGGGGCGGAAGAGCGTGTCCTCCAGGAAGAGGAGGAGCTGAGAGCTGGGCGTAAACGCTCAAGTTAGGAATGGGTTTTGGGGTTCCGAACTGCAAGCAAACAGTCGGCCTTCGGCTTGCGGGCCGTGGGATGTGGCACTGTGGAGTTCCAACGCCCGGGTTACCTACCACGGAGTAAATCCAGTCCAGGGTGCGGCGACTCACTGGCCTCATGGTAAGGGTGCGGTGGGGACGGGGTGGCGCGAACCCTAGAGTCCGCTCCCGGGCGCCGTCCACCCCGCTGCAGCAGCCATCTTTCCGCGGTCCCACGCGCGCTTCCGCCCAGAGTTGGAGCGCGTCACGTGATCCGGGCCTAGCCCGCCTTTCAGGCAGCGGAGGAAATAAAAGAGAAAATGTTAAAATTGCGCTTATTTTTGCGCTTACATGGGCATTTCTCAGCTCGTTTTTCTCCAGTCGCAGTGAGCTATTAACGCAGAATAGCATGCCATCGTGTGCATGCAAGTTTATTTGAAAATAGTTACGCTGGGAGAATTAAAAGTTGCCGCCCCACACCCTCATCCGTTTCTACAAAATGTGGATAGACGTTCATATGTTTATGTTTGGCATGAACAATATCATCCACTCGTTTAGATAACTAAAGAATCGCTGGAAACTTAATTCGGCCGTTCATCAAGAACGACTATCAGAATACTGTCGCTTATTGCTGGAGATATTTTAAAATACGTGGCGTTTTAAAATGTTGCCCGCATGGTGGATCTGCCCGTCAGCAAGCGTTGACGGGACGTTTATGGAGTCTAGGACCTCAGCAAGTGTGGCAGGCTAAGCCCCAAACAAGGCAGTTTGGCAGGCGAGCGTGCAGTTAAGCCCGAGGATGCTATGTTCGCAGGGGCGGCCTGGCCGGCAGGCCCGAGACTGCGCGGCTTGGGGCGCAGAGGTGTCAGACTCAGTGTTAGTCTAAATTTCGGAGGGCGGGAAGTGGGAAGCAGGCCGCGGGGAGAAAGGTCATGGCTGCAGAAGCGCTCGGCGCCTGGGGCTCATCCCAGCTGAAAAAGACGTGAGGACGAGGGCGCTGGGGAGGGGGGCTCCGTGCAATATTGTTACACTAGGGAGAATTCGAGCAGCTTGTCCAAGTTTCGGGTGTCCGCCCCTTTGGCGGTGGCTGTTGAGTTGGTGCCTGGC